GGGGCACATGACTCTCATGGCAAAAAGCCAAAGAAATTTAAAAGGCATCCATCACATATTAAATAGTTAGTTCAATCCATGAGCCTTGTTTGTGATTTACAGCAATAAAGGTTAAAAAAATAAGAAATTATACTTTTCTGATATGTACTAACTTGCAGAGAGTATTGCAGAGGGGATACTTCAATAGTCACCTCAGAAATTCTCAGTCCTGAAAAAAGAACATGGCAAGTCATTTCAAAGGCGGGGACAGCCTTGACAAGATGGCTCAGCATCACCTATTTTCGTGACAATATTTTTTTGGTTGGCCAATATGCAAGAAGAAACAAAAAAAAGTAGCCTGAAAAATGTAACCAGATGACTTTGGAAGCATTTAACCACCCACAAGAAAAACAAAAAATCCCATTACAAGTAAAAAATGAAATAGCAGACAATGTTAGGACACGTACATTTGCCCAACTGTTGATATACAAATTTCTTGGCACCAGCAAGGAATAGAGGATGGGTTTGACCTTGGTTTTTTGGGTTGGTTTTTTTTGTTGCATTTTTTTTTTTTAATAAAGATTTTTGTCTCTTTTTTATTTAGGTTTCACACTTTTCCTGGGGCCTCTGGGCTCCTGTCCAGGCTGAGATACTTCACAATTGACTTTCATTTTCTGAGGTAAGTGATCTGCCACTTTCAGAGCAGTTATAGGAGGGGTCAAGAGTGAGGTGGTGCGGTATGGCCTCACTCTGGCTCCTGCCTCTCTGACACTGTACATGCTAATGCAATGTGAAGTAGCACGTCTAAATAGCCTGTCAAACTTTTTTGATGTTAGCAAATCCACAGATGGGATTCATTTCCACACTGTTCAAAAAACGTAAACGATACAAGGACATTAAAGAGCATTAAACTACTTGATGACACTTTGGTCACATTAATGAAAACTGGCATTTATAAACTACTAGAAAAAGTTGTGGGGCTGAGGGGAGAGAAGAAAAAGAGAGAGGAAAGGAGAAGCAAGGAAGGGAAAAGGAATTGAAATCAATAACCAAAAAAAAAAACCACAAAACAACCAAAAACAAACCCCAAAGGGACCTGGACAGTCTCTGGACATTATCAAAGAAATTAAGACCTTTAAACAAAATAAAACCCTGAGTGAAATTTTCCCTACATGTGTGCATATATACATGTATTTGTGCTGTTTAGGTGTAAAGGTTGTGCCCAAGGACCCAAATAGGAAGCATAACAGCCTGTTTAGGTCTACATTTATATCTATTCATTCATAAGTGGTTAATAGCTTCCTTCTTATGGTATCCCACCAATGCCATGACCACGGTGGTGTGGAATATAAGTGTATCAAAACCCAGCCTCACCACTTAGCTCAGGCCTAATTTGGCATTCAGTGGCCTGTATGAAAACACCTCCCATGTCATCCAAGAGCATTAGGTTAGCCTGTAACATCTTCAGCATGCAGATCAAGTGGGTAAGAGCTAATGGCAAAAAAACCCATGCTTGACTGTGGAAATTTCTGAGATCCATTTCTGCTATTTCCACTACCTGGTAGGCACACTTGGAAAAGGATTGGGAGTTAAATAGCTGATGGTTGCTGTGCTAGAGCAGCAGAGGCCTTGGAGCTGGATGCACCAACATGCCAGGCTGGCTGGAAAGGAGGGCAGACGGGAGACGTGCCGCACTGGCTGTGCTGCTGCCGCTTGCAGCCGCAGCATTTTTTTTTTTTTTCCAGCATTTGTGGTTACATTAATTGTTAATGACAAAGGCAACCTTCACTCTGTGTGGTTTCCTGCCCATATTTGGATCCTTTACAAGGCCCCCCTTTTTTCTTCCTCTCCTCCCCCCTCCCATCATCCCTTCCCTTTCTCTGATAGGAAATGCAACCCGAGATGTGCAAAAAAACAGTGTGCATATTGTCATTTAATTGGCCCCTTGCTCAGGCGCATCGGGCCTCAGCGCGTGTGCTGTAGGGTGTCTGCTCCACAACAGGAAAGAATAAACCCAGACTCAAATCACAGGAAATTCATCAAATATGCTTCTTAGAGTTCTGTCTTTCAAGGTCTGTTTCCCTGCCATATGATCTCTATAAACCAAATTACTGCTGGCCTGAGTACAAGACTGGAGGCGCCTGGGGCTAACATATAATGAATGCCAAATGCATGTGACAATAGACTGATCATGGAGAAGAATTGAAAATTTTTTTAAGTAGTTCTTTTATTTCATTTATAAAAAGCAAACTGACTACACTTAATACATTTAAAAGGAGCCAATCACTTCCCTGCAGTTCCAGACCTGCATAACAAATGGTTTTTATCAAGCCAATTAAGCAGCAAGGACACAAGATACTTTTGAATAAAGTAGAAAATATAAAATAAATTTAAAATACCTCATTCTAGTTTGGGAGGAATGTATACATTATTGAATCAGCTCAATTTTTCCTTTTACAAGCCTTTGCACATAAATATTCTACCTAGCAAGAAGGTAAACTCCTTCTGCTGGGAATACATAATCTCAGACTTACTGAATCTTAAAAATGTAAGAAAGCTGCTTAAAAGCTAGAGTGATGTAAGATGAATTATTTTTATTAATTTGTGCAATTAGCAGTCAACCAGAAATTTTTATCCCTGTGTTTCCAATTATTCTAAATAACCTAACAAGTTCAAGTATTGCTTTGCAGGATCACAGGAAATGTGAAATCTCCAGAAGAAAATATATTATACTCTCTAATACAGACAGAGAGTAATTAATAATGCTTTTTAGGTTTTTGAAAATATTGCACTTAGAATTGCAAGTCAACTAACGGACAGTCCAAATGCTTCCATATTCAGATATCAGCAGTCAGAATTACAAAAATGTAATAATGCATACATATTAATAGATCACATTTTGTCCTCTGGGGAGTATATATTTTAAAAAGGCTAAGGCAGCAATAGTAGCTTTTCAGAAAACTCTAAATGCTATAATTGTTTTATATGAATTACAATGCTCATATTAATGAATGTTTTGTATATGTAAATATTTGATAAATACAGAGCAAGAAAAAAATAACCCATCTTTTAAGCTGACATATAAAAAAAAAAAAAAGCCAAATACATTGCAGTTTGAAGGTTTGGAACCGGTTAAGTACAAGATTATTTTAACCACATTTCAATGAGGAACGTGAAATATGGCCCATGAAGTCATGCAATTCAGCAGAACATTTTTTTCCCCTTCCTTCTTTTTTATAATCTGGTTAAACAGAAACAAAAGCCAAATTTCCAGTATACCTCTTTATTCAAATTTTAATCAAAGTTTTTAAGAAAGCCACCTGTAGCTAATAAAAAGTTTCATCCCTGGGTCACTCTGTTGAAAGAATCAAAACAAACATTGACCCACTCTTGGTAGCAGTAGCTGTGTTGGACATTGCAAGAACACATACGGTCACTAAGGATTCAGTCCTCATTCTGAGAAGCTTCTGAAGAGATGAGAATAAAAGGGGAAAGTACTGCTTGCAGGAACAGGACTGTAATTTTGAAACCTAAATCTAATATCACTTTTTTAGATGGAGTAGAGCAGAATTCATTTTCATAGGTATTGGTTATAACTCTGTTGCTTCTGTTTTTCTGTCAGTGTAAATCATTTGGAAATAGCTTCAGTAACATTATTTACAAATAACTGATATGGAGTTACCAGCATGAAATGTGGATCAGTGGTAGAATATCTATTTGTAGTGTTCTTTCAAAACCCTGTGAAAAATGTTTGCTTTGGTGTGTGACAGCAAAGAAAAAACTTTCAAAAGTAACAAAGCAACAAAACTGCACTATGTATATTCAAGGTGAACAATTGGAGAATTATTTTAAAATCACTTCTAGGTATTTATTCCTGCCCCTAAAATATGATTAGGCTGGTCAAAAAAAAAGGGGCCAGCAAGATATTAGCTTGTATAGAAAATATGCCAAGTACTTCTTTCTGATTCTTTATGCAGGATGTCAAATACCTGTACACAAAAGACAAGTCACTCTTGACTATAGTGACAGCCATACATGATTCACATTCTTCCTATTTCCCACACAAACATTTATATACCAAAAAAAATAAAAAAAAGAGAAAATTATTATCAGTGAGGAAGTTATATAAAATAATGCAAACCAAGCCAAAGAATAACTATAAATTATGGATTTTAAATGCAACAAGAGAACAAAATACTTTTGATAGAAGTTGCTCTCTCTCACAAAACCTCTCCCATAATTTTCAAACAGCTCTGCTGCCTGCCTGCTGAAAGCTCTTTCAGAACTTTGAGTAAGTGCATTCATAACTAATTTATATCAATTTCATGTTGCACTGAACTTTCATATTCATCATCTGATTTACCTTAATGCCAATAAACATCCTGTTTGTACGCATTTAGGACTGACAGGCCATCAGAATGGAACTTTTCTCTGCTGACCACTGCTGGCGTGGGCCCAGGACCACTCTTTCCTCTGGAAACAGGGAGGAGAGGTAGGCAGACCATCACTTCCTCTGCATGACCATGTGGCTGGGACACGGACACAAAGCCAGGCCACTCCTTCTGTAGCATTTACTGCCCGTGAGATGCGGGATGTTCAGCTCTGAGCTTTTCTCACTCTTAGCGTGACAAGTCTCACAGCAATGTGTGGCACTGGATCATGAACAGGTAGCCTAGGAAACATTTAGAGCAGGTACTCAAATGCTTTGTCTGCACATGTGGCAGATTGGTGCATTTGAAAGACAAGATTGCTGAAGGCGTCACAGAATCCATAGAGACTTGGACAGGAGTTCAGATGTATCAACAACAGTACAGTTGAAAAAGCTATTATTACTTAGAATTGCCACTTCAGGCTCTGACATTCTGTTCTACTTGTGTATGCACTCCTGAAAAACTGAGCACAAAAATAGCAGCAGAAAAAGAAATATTTAAAAACACATGATCTAAAATATTGCAAATATATTTGGCTGCTTTCGTCAGGAACACAAATATTTGACAGTTTTCTGAAGATAATAATCAGAAGCAGAGAATTTCATATTGCTCAAGATCTGTATGCTAAATAACTCTCTTAAAAGAATCTTACTAGGGGTCAAAATTCAAGGCTTGAAAGCTATAAATCACAGAATGAAAGTTGTCTGCATAAACTTAATTCAGTATTTTACTTAATTCCACTTGGCAATTTTCTGCAAGATCCTATATCAAAAGATACAAAGGTTTATTGGTAAAGCCAAATTTCTTCTTGTTAATGTACTGCCTCTGACTACACAGTGTATTGTCCAAGATGCATTTTGAAAAACATATAATAATTCCTTTATGGAATTATATGAGAAATTTATTACAACACTATGCCAGGACATAAATACACCTCCACGATTTTAAGGAATACTATTGTCTCTTAAAGGTGGGAAACAAAGATTGGTACCTACACCAGTTCTAAATATGAGGTTCAAAGAACTTGATTTAGACTATTTAGTACTATGTATCACTCAGTCATTTGAAATTTTGCATTCTTCAACAGATGAAAGCACCATATCTCAAGTTAGATATCAAAAAAGAAGAAAGACAAATAACAACTTCTTAAAAGCATAGCTTAATTGCTTTGATGAAAATACTATGGTAAGAAACAAAACAAAACAAAAAGATGGAAAGACATCAATCTTTGCCTCTGATGTTCTATACATGCACAAAATAAATAAAGATGAAGGGGTAGAGCTTAGGGGCCCAAATAGAGATTGAGACCCAGCCTCAATAAAGAGTGTCTGAACACATCCTGTAAACAAAATCCACACTGAAAAAATGTCACTGACAAGGCAAAGAAAGAAAAATATATCAAAGCGAACAAAAGCGAGAGAAGAAGCTGGACAAAGCTGTACCTTAGACTAACATTTCTGAGAACAGGCTCTAGGTTTCCCGAAACCTTGTCTGCTGCTGTTGTTGACATCTGGCAAACACTGTCTGGGGTTTTGGGAAATTCCTGCTCTAAACGTATAAAGTGCTGCAATGTTAACTGTAGTCATAATCTCAGCCCTGAAAATACAACAAATACCTTTATCATTGCTAATACTTATAATATTTAGCCATATATTAACATAGTGTAATTACTGTTACATTCTTGCATTTAACAAAGTTATAAAAGTATTGTAAGAACATCTATCATGCATTAACATTTTAATGGCAACCACTGACTTTTGTCTAGGTCATTCTGGAAATGCTTGAACCACGGATGATTGAGAAAGAAAAGTCAACACTTGCCTACAGTGCAGAGAGCATGGAACTTAAAGAGTTACACATATGAAAAAATCCAAATGAGTCAACAAATACTGTGAGAGCGCCAAAAAATAGTTTAGCTGAACATGTGGGCTTCTTGTTTATGCAAGCTTTTCAGAGAATGTTTTTCATAAAAGAGATGTAGCACTGTTTAACGCTCAGTCACTGTTTCAGGGGATATGTCTTGGCTGTGCTGTGTTCAAGACTGCTACTGAAGAAGGAAACAATTCTCTCCTGAGGCAGTTATGATTTAAACCTCTTACTAGGGTGGAGAAGTTTGTTTTATCCTACTTTTTTCCCTCCCTTTTCGCTCTTATTGGGCACACGTGGCATCCATCAATTTCTTGCTGCACATTTTGCACGCAAACACCAATAGATAGAAGCATTGTGTTGCAGCTGCAGTACAAATGCATGAAAACATCCATTTTTAGGGGCCAAACAATGCAAAAAATAAAATAATTACAAAGTCTAATAAAACCTTAATGGAAATTTCAGTAAAATCCATGTTCATCAGATGATCATTTGATCAGAAATGATAGCATATAGATTTGACAGTTTATATTATGATGGTCTGAGGAACAAGAAGCAGGATTTCATTGTGTATTCCTGAATGCTCAGTGGATTTTGGGTTGCTTCACCACACTGGTATTTTTTGCTATTGTAATACAAATAGAAAGTTAGAATTTCTCAGGAAGAAGGAAACTTTAATTTTATCTACTGCTTTTAACACTCAATTATTTTTTTCCCGCTTGAATTACTGCCCTTTAAAAGAATCCAGTATGAATTGATACTCTTATTCATCATATTTTCTTCAAAGGAAGTAATAACTACTCCTGGTGAAACCTTGTCTCTGCTCATGCCCATCAATGCCCTGTTGAACCTGATGAGAATTTTATTTCTGAATTCAGTGAATTATTTAATTCTTTCCAACCAGATATATTCAGAAACCAAAAGCTTTTGTCTGGCAAGATACAGTTTCCATTTTATCCAAACCATTGTAGCTCAGGTAATAGGAAAAGTCAACCCCCTAATGAATTCTAAGAGCAATTCACACCTCAGTTACAGAATCATGCTTAATTTGCTCTCAGGTATTTAATGTATTCTTTAGATTGTAAGCATTAAATTGAAACAATAGGACAAATTCTGTTCCCAGCAATCTTTTACAAATGAAAAATTAAATGTGTGGATTTATTCCTGTCTTTGCAACAGGGACACGTACACAGCTTGAACAGATGCAAAGCAAACTTTATGCAGTTTATCTACTTGATTGCCCTAATTTTTCAAATACCTTGTACCTAGAACAAGTAAAAGTGGCTTTCCTGGAAAGCACAGTTCAAGTGCACTAGTTTGTCATTCCGAAGGATAACCATCAACCTCTATACACAGCAGTGCTAGGTAAGCAAAATCCTCCAATACTTAGCTCTGCACATGAAGAAAATTAATTGTGATATTGTCAAATTTTCCTCGTCTTGAATTTGAGAACCTTGGCCATAAAGATGGCTCATTGTAGCCTGTTAAGGCATGAGAACAAATGAGCTGTTTTATATATAGGGCAAGTCAGTGATTTCATAGCCATTTCACTTCCAGAAGTGTCATATATATGAGTGGGTGAGCCCACCCACATGGTCCAGTGTTGTGGTCTGGTCGCTCTGTTGGAAAAAGCAATATAAAGTCAGTTTTTTGGCTTCTGTCAGTGCATCCAGATGATTTCAATTTGTTAGGATTCCACTTGAGTGGTCAGCATTAGTTTGACAAAACTGTGCCAACAGACAACTCTTTCTGCAGCCTCAAGGATTTTGGTACACAGTGGGACTAGGCAGAGGTACAGAGATTTTAGCTTCACAATTACCCATACAGCTTCTTAAAATTGGGTCCATTAGGTAGCCCCCATATATGCACAAGAGTTTAGTATGTGGCTTATATACAATAAACACTTTACTGAGCTCAGATTTCAACTGATGGAATAAAGAGAGATTATAACAATAGCTGTTCCTTAGGGAACCATAAATTGAGCTAATTTTTAAGTACAGTTCAGGTTCTGGAAAGTTGCATGAGACACTAGACTGACCTTGCCCACTAGTAGTCAAAGTGCCAAAAGGAAACATTATCATGATAATTTGAGTGTTTGTTTCTCAGTAATTTAAATTTCATGCAGCACAGCAGTGTCACAGAGGCCATTCCTTTTCAACATATGTCCGGCAGCTATAAGGATGAAAAGTCCTTTGGATCATGTAAAATAATCTGCTGATAACAAACTAAGTTTAAGTATTCTAGAGGTAGACCTTGAATTTTGTGATGGAGTTTTACTATGCAGTAAAAGAGAGGAAATAGTCTTGGCTCTTCTTATGTTCCTGGTGTTCAGCAAGTTAACCATCAACATGAATCCAACCTCATATTGGCAAGAATCTCATGTCCTCAGAATTTCCGTCTACTAGTTTCTATTTCATTAGAGAGATGGTGTGTGGAGAACAAATGGGTTCTCTTTTTAGACATTCAGACCATTGTATAGGTTTTTAAATCATCCAGTGGTTTAAAAGTTTTAAAAATATTTAGAATGAAGACTGTGGCAAACAACATACAAGAAACATTTCTTACCTAAGTACTGTATTTACTTGGAAAAGGAAATTACATTGCTGATGCCATTGATTAACTCATTATCTGCTACAAAGGCTTTGGAACCAACTTGGAATTGACAGAAAATGCCTTTCCAGTTCCTCATCTTGTCTTTCTATCTTCATCAAACATGTAAGTTGACTAATGGAAAGTGAGATGCTTCTACAACAAAGTGTAATTATGAGTGCCTGGACAGAGAAAAAGATCATTTCATGACACCTTCTTTCCAGCTTTCAGGGAACAAACCTATCAAGTAATAGTAACCCAGCTGGTAAGACACGCACAGACTTTCCTGCTTTTCACTGAATTTATGGGCTTCCTGAGCCAACTAAGAATTTTATGTTTACAGAACTGCTAAAGGCTTGGAATATTTTACCGGCCTAACACTGAATTGATATCTTACCGAAGTTAATAAAATTCTGATGCATAAAATAAGTGGATTTTATTACACAGCAAGAACTTGACCCATTTATCAATAAGAAGCCAGGATCATCTCAATTCCTTGGCACATTTCTGTGGGAAGTTATGAACAATAAGTAACTGGGATCACTATGAATTGACTATTGTATGAAGTAGCAGAAAGGCCAATCAGATAGAAATTCTCCTTCTGACTCAGCAAATACTGAGCTTAAGCCCAACCACTGTCCTAACAGCAAAATTATTGTAGTTGTTCAGTCATGGGAACTGCTAGAAAGTGAATTTTATGAGTTTAATAGCTTCTGTGGCATCTTCCCAAAATTAACTAGGGAAATCACTGGCTTCAGGATCTAAAATTCTACCATTTGTAGGAGATAAGAAAAGAACAAGCCCACATTTTAAATGAATATGGGAAAATCTTGGATTACAAAGTCAAAATATTTTCTTTCCAGCACAGCAGAAACCCATTTAGAGGAAACTATGCTCCTACACAATAAATCACAGACATAAAACAGTATTAATCTTAACACATATGTGCAAACTAGTCAGTATGCAGACCAAGTCACCCAAACTCCCAGCAAAACATTCTCAGAGCTCAGGCTAGCAGCACCTAACAACTGCAATACACTGTTCAATTCCCTATTACAGTCCTGAGATTTATGAAAGGTCCTGTGTGATTCTGAGAAAGCAAAGTTCTTCACCCTTTCTGAAGTCATTCACCCTTATCTACACTTACTGTGCTAAAACGGTTCAGTAAAAAATGTAAATTGATAATCTGTGTATTTTAAATAAATGGACAAACTCAAACTATGTTTCATTAGCAAGAAAGGAATTTCTGGAAAATTTTCTCATCTCAGTGGAAATAAAGAGCTGCCAGCTGCATAGAAAATGTTGCTTAAATAAAATTTGGGAAAACTTAAAATATCCTATATTCTTTCCACCTCCTTATGTGTATTTAAATGAGCAGCAACAGACCAAATTTGAACTCTTGAAATAAAAGTCTGAACAATGTAATTTCTATATTTAGCATGCTAGTAGTCCCATGCCAAGATTCAGTCTTTAGAATATTTGCTGCATACGTACCACATGCATGTTACTACAAGAAGTAACAAATATGTAACATCTGGCATTTTTTTCTTCCAGTCAGTCTTGAAACATGAAAAGTAAATGAGAAATTTTTGCACAAACTAAAAATGTACAATGCCTAAATGTAAGTCCAGGCTTCACTTAAGAAAGGATCTAATTGTTAACACAGACCATTCTCCCATCTCACAAGGCTTTTTTTGAAAGCACTGAACCTCAGCTAATATTTCAGCCAAGCCTGTCTGGTCTACACTGTGGCCTTTATAAAAGTGGACTTCACTTCTTTTTGCTAGCAGGGAACTGAAATATCTCTCTTCTGAAAGGTCTATTCAACAGTTTGAATATTCATATTATCAGAATTAAGTTAGATTTAGTTGCCATCAGATATTGTTCAGATATTGTTCAGATATCTAGTCAGATATCTAATCAAAGAGTAAAGGAACAAATATATATGAAAGTGTCTGTCTGTGACCTAAGATTCTATGCCACTGTGTTTTATATGGCAACCTGCAAGATACTTTGCTCTAAGTGTTTTAATTTTTATCTTCCATGGGATGGGGAAGGTAAGAAAGCTGTCAGCAGGGAGAGAAGTACATATCAGGCAGAGGATATGAATCTGAAAAAGCTGTGTTCTAATGGTAAACACAGGAGAGTTCAAAACCAGCACAGACAGCACATCAATCACCAGGCCTCAAACTAGAGAACAGATTAAGACAATCTCTAATTTGTATAAAAAAAATGAAGGTAACAAGAGGATAAGAAGTTACTGAAAACATAAAGGCAATTAATTGAGTCCAAACAAACCTTATAACAAGATAATCAGATGCTTAAACTTACACCTCCTCAGTTATAGCACTGATCACTGCATAATGGAATGTGGGCATTAAGCTTGTTTCCAAGGGTTTGTTTTTTTTGTTTTGTTTTTTTGTTTGTTTGGTTGGGTTTTTTTGGTTTTTGTTTTTTTATCTAATCACACAGACTTGATTATCAATACTGTATATTTGGAGCTAATTGAAAAAATTCTGTGTGATTTCTTGCCGGATACAAATCATATGCCTTGAATAAGGATTAGCTGGATAACTCACAAGTCCCCTAGGGAAAATATGTTGTACAGACTACTCCTCATAAGTGGGGATTAATATCAAATCCCACAGGAAGTCATGCACTGCAGTGTTTATTTTCATTTCACTTTATATTTACTGGCAGTTTAGACTGTTCTTTCAGCTTGTGTTTAACAGACATTGCAGCACGACAGATTTTTCAGCACGTGTAACATCATGCCTCACATTTTGGCCACTGGATGGTATTTCCTAGATATAGTTGTTGTCTAGTGGGTCTTACAAAATTGAATATGTTGTGAACTCAGATTGACCGCACAGAATGCGCTCCCCTTTAGATTTTATTACTACAACTTTTCCAAGCTTAATATGCCATTGACATGGCAGTTGCTACCAATGCTCACCATTAATCTTAGTGCTGGTGTTCTCATCCTCAAGCAGTTTCATTCATTTTTTGCTCTTGTTAAACCTGGATTTATTCTTTTTCCTGTACCTGTAGATTCCCTATCTCCTTAACTTACATCTTAGTTTATGTAATTTCTGGGCCAGATCCGATATTTTCTTTCTACTTTTCCCTGCAATTTCAGAACTCAGTTCTTCTTCCCTGTCTCATCACTCTCTCTCCTTTGAGATCATAAAACAGCTTCTCACTGATACTACTGTGAAAAGGAAAGAATGTAATGCAAAACAGTCTTCCATACATCCCAGCACTGATAATACAAAATAATTTTCTTCTTCATACCATTCAAACCAAAGGAATTGTGTGAGCTATAAAATCCAGTATTCCACATCAGCTAATTTTAGATACTTTTGTTATTGGCAGAAAACCAAACAAATCCTATGGCAGGCAGTATCTAGTAAGAATTTCCTTTTACCTCTTCCTTAAAAACTTGATGGGTATGACCTGCACCACCACGATCCAACTTCAGTCACCCCAGCCTTGAATGAGAAGGGAGAGAGGGTGCACACTTGTTGACCAGTGGGTCTTAAAAAATTAAATATGTTGTGAACACTTCATGAAAAACCAATATTTATCAATGTTATAACATTGTATACACCACCCATGTTTATGCACATATTTATCATCTGAATACTTTTAGGTTTACTCTTGTCATCTTTTTCATGAGTTTTCTTGATCTGCATTACTGAAAGACTATTTCTATGACCACATTGCACAGAAATCTCTTGCTGCAGTTTTTCTATATGCTACAACTCAGTCTTTCCAGAAAAAAAATATCATCAAGGCAGAGCATAAGTTGAAATACTTTTGACTGATAAATGGTGGTGTGTCAACACACAGTAAAGTGTCCTTGTACTGTAAACAGAAGTCTAGCTGTTTATGCAGTATTTCAAAAACAGGTAAAAATCCCATACTTAGAAAGCTGAATTTTAGGGCATGGTAGTGTATCTCTGCTAATTTAATCTGTGTAGCATAGATAAAGGAGAGAGAAGGCAGAAGGAGACTCCAGCATATGTAAATATGTTTTTAAGAATTTGCACTGCAGTTGCCAGTATAAGCTAAACCTCACATTTCATTATAAGCATGAAACATAGAATCATAGAAGTTTGTGTTGGGAGGGACCTTTGAGATCATCTAAGTCCAGCAGCCCGCCATGGATAGGGACACCTTCCACTAGACCAGGCTGCTCAGAGTTCCATCCAACCTGGCTTTGAATGCTGCCAGGGGTGGAGGATATAGTAGAAACCTTAAGAAAATTCCTGTTCAGTAAGATCATGTGCAAGACTTCCATCCACTGTTCTTAATTCCATGATTGTTTGAAAATCTTTGTAAAAAAGATTTGCAAATCTTTTTTAGTGGTTTATCTTTTACTTTGTTTTTATTGCAAACAATAAGAAGTAATTCTTATGGTCACCACCAGTCAACTGTAATCTTTCCTCTCATCAGTGTAGCAAATATCCATCAATTTACTTTGATTAACCAAATTTAAGGGGATAAAGGAGGGAGGCAAAGAAGATGCAAGAGCACATGTGTCTAGGCAGTGATTTGCATCTAAAATACTAAATGTTGCCTCTGAGCAATCAACATTAGCATCACAGGAAGGCCACAGGTAGAGAAAGCTCCTTGCAGACTTGAAGTGGGAGCTGGCTTTTTTCATTGGGAATTTTTTTTTCCACAGCTGGATTTTCCAGTAGAAATTTTAACCCTTAGGCATTAGAAAAAAATTGGACACCGGGTTGAGAAAATATATTCATTCATCATTGTCAGGATATCTTGTTTTGATCCTATAAAGACAGGTAACAATATTCAAGCCTTGAAATTGTTTATGAAGTAATCAGCATTTAATTTGTTCTGTTCAGAATTTAATTATATACCATGTGCCTTCCTGAGAGGACACTACCAGAAGTATAGCTGTCAAATGGAAATTAATTTGCTAGTAGATGACCACATACTTCATGAATTATACATGAAACTTTGTCTCACAGTGACCGTTGCTAAAAGACTCTTTCATCACTCTTATGTTTAAACAAACCACAATGGTTTTTAAATAAGTCTGATCAGCAGTAAGGAGATTATGATAAAGTGCTAAGAATGACTTCCAAAATAGTGTCTCAGGCACATTTCATATTGATGTGTTTCACTGCAATTTGGGTCATGTTCCTCTGCTCTTAGTTGTTAGCAGAATGATGGGCAGACCATTGCATTTACTTTCAAATTCAACGCTGATAGCTGGATTTACATTTCTTTTTAAGACTCTGCTTTAGCAAACATGCCTTACATTTCAGACATAATTCTGTTATTCAAATGGGAGAAGAGTTTGATAGCTATGCTAATCACTTTTATCTGAGAAAACATAACTAATAGCTTGGTTTACATTTGCCTGCATTTATGAGCATAATTTTAGCATGCAATTTTATTGCACCATAAAACATAATACTGCATTAGTCTGCTCTCAAAAAAAGTTACCTTAGAGTGATTTGTACTTAAACCTTCACCTTATATTTAAGTAACAGTATCATTTTAAAATTTTGTCCTTTTAAAATCAATTTTAAAAACTCAAACCTGTATAACAATTTAACCTACAAGGCTATTATCTGTAGCCATAAGGCTCAGTGAATGTATTTAAGGTAGTCATATTCCCATTGATCATAGGACTGCTTTGAGACAGCTATTCTTATGTATAAATTGGACTGAATTAAGATAATTTGCTCTTAACATTGCATCAGAAGAATCTCTTAAAATTCTCCACTGCTGTATACATTAACAAAGCATGCAGAAGAAAAGATGAACGATCCACATAATTTCTTTTTTTTATTTTTTTGTTTTTTATTTAGTGCTTTCAGCATTGGAAATAATGTTTTATATTGTAAAAGGGCCAGTTACTGCTTTCAGTGGGACATAAACATAAAGAAAATATGCTCAAAGAGCTTTATTTTGTAGTATTGTACTTAACACTTCCTCTTGGAATAGTCATGGCTAATAATGATATGGGAACTATTTTCCAGAACACGACTATACCAATTGACACATTGTAATGATCTTATTAGAAGTAATATGTTGTATATATGTATGTATGTATGTATATATGTAGCCATTTCCTCTCAGGGTTTGAAAATATATTTTCAAATTTAACCTGACCCTTGAAGGCAAAAAAAGCCATGTACAGAAATGCTGGACTCCCTGTGACACCAAGAAATTATCTATGGCAGAACCTGAGATTTACATTCAGCTCTTATTTGGAGAAAAAGATCTTTTCTAAGAAAGGTCTTACAGCCAACAAAAAGTCCTGTAATTTCATG